TTCCCAGCCCTCACCAGCTTTTGGCTTTCTATCCAGGCAAAGTGGAAGCTAAGCAGGTGCTGGCCAGTGCACCAACAGACAAGAACCTCTGCCACTTCAGGGTGAGTGGGACTTAGGGTCTTGTCCTTCTGAAGCATTTTCAGGGGCAGGTATGGCTGAAGGTTTGAGATGGCTTGGTTTGTCCTGGAGAAGGAGAGGTCAAAGGCCAGGAAAAACTTCTGGAAGACAAGAGCAGATTGCGTTCCTGTGTAGGGTAGTTGTGGACACTAATTAGGAGGGAAGGTTCCAGGACTGGAGAGATATCTCAGTGGTTAAGAGCACTGATTGCTCTTCCAGTGGACCTGGGTTTAACTCCCATCACCTACATGGCAGCTCATAACTGTCTGTAACTCCAGGATCCAGCACCCTCACATAGACAGGCATACAGGCAAAACACCAATAAAATAAAAATAAATTTTAAGAGGGAAGGTTCCAGAAGGTAAATCTTGGACTCTGTGAGGCTCAGGGCCATTGGGTTTTTCTTAGGAGAGTATGACTGGTACAGACATTTGTAACAACCATGGGGCTTAGGATGATTGAAGGCACATGGGTGGGTAGGATCCCTCCTTACACAGCCTCATTCCTGGCGCTGGTGTCCGTGCAGGCTCTGGGCTGCCAGACCACTCACTCCAACCAGGAAGTGCTGCAGAGCTGTTCACTTATCATCTTTGCCACCAAGCCTCAGGTTCTGCCAGATGTTCTGGCAGAGGTGGCCTCCGTCGTTACCACTGAGCACATCGTGGTCTCTGTGGCTGCTGGGATCCCTCTGAGTTCGCTGGAGGAGGTGAGTAGTCTGACTATGAAATAGACTTTGTCGGCCGACCGTGTGTGGGAGGCAGATAGCATCCCAGACAACCTCCAGAAGTCGTTAGTTGGCCCACCAGGATCGAGTGGCTCGGGCAGTGTTCTGCCACTGTGCCTGGGAAGTGGGGTCTAGAGACTGCATTTAGCTGAGGTATTTGCCTAGCAAACCCAGTCTCATGGAATACCTGACACTAAACTCTCTTTTGTCTAGCTGCTGCCCCCGAAAACACGAGTGTTGCGAGTCTCTCCCAATCTACCTTGCATAGTCCAGGAGGGGGCCATGGTGATGGCCCGGGGCCACCATGCCAGGAATGACGACGCTAAGCTCCTACAAAACTTGCTGGAGGCCTGTGGGCAGTGCATAGAGGTTCCTGAGTCCTATGTAGATATCCATACTGGCCTCAGTGGCAGTGGTGTGGCCTTTGTGAGTATTGTCTTCACCCATATCTTCAAAGACCCTGCTCTCAAGATCTCAGAGTCAAGCCTTGGGGCCTCAAGTGGTTCATGGGTCATCAGTGAGCTCTCCTGTCTCAGAACATCGGGCTTTGTTGAACCATTGAGGCTGGCTACTTTACCAAACTCTGGGTTTAGGCCTTAGAGCCTCAGGTATCCATGACCACGTTCAGGGTCTTATTTCTCATGGGTCTTAACCTTCTTAATGCTATGACCCTTTAATACAGTTGTTGTGGTGACCCCCAATGGTATTGTTTTTGGTTTTTGGTTTGGTTTTTTGTTTGTTTGTTTGAGACAGGGTTTCTCTGTGTAGCTTTGGAGCCTGTTCTAGAACTCACTCTGTAGACCAGACAGGCCTTGAACTCAGAGATCTGCCTACCTCTGCCTCCTGAGTACTGGGATTCAAGGCGTGTGCCACCACCACCACCCAGCTTCATAAAATTATTTTTCTTGCTTCTTTATAATTGTAATTTTGCTGTTATGAATCATAATATAAATATCTGTTTTCTTTATGTTTTTTTTTTATTTTGTTATTGTTGTTGTTGTTTTGAGACAGGATTTCTTTGTGTAGCCTTGGCTACCTAAGAACTAACTCTGTAGACCAGGCTGGCCACAAACTCACAGAGATCTGCCTCCTCTACTTTCTGAGTGCTGGGATTAAAGGTGTGCGCCACCACTGCCCAGCAATATCTGTTTTCTGATGGTCTTAGGTGACCCTGTGAAGAGGGTTGTTCAATTTCCAAAGGGGTCATAACCCACAGGTTGAGAACTTCATTCAGATCACTCTCTATCTGGGAGCTGTGTCCAGCAGAATGTCAACTTTGACATTCCCCCTCCTGACTCCCAATGTTATTGCTACAGGTGTGCACATTCTCCGAGGCCCTAGCTGAAGGTGCCATCAAAATGGGCATGCCCAGTGCGCTGGCCCACCGCATTGCTGCCCAGACCCTGCTGGTGAGTGAAGGGTTCCTCGGGAGAACGCTGGGAAGGTTGTGCTCAGGAGTGTGTGCTGTCTCCCGCCAACAGGCAGACACACTTGCCAAGTTCAGACAGGCTGGGAAAACATGTAGCTGCCCCCTCGCAACTCTTCCCTTAACTCTTCTCCCCAGGGGACAGCCAAGATGCTGCAGCAGGAAGGGAAGCATCCAGCCCAGCTTCGGACGGATGTGCTCACACCAGCTGGAACCACCATCCATGGGCTTCACGCCCTAGAGAAGGGCGGCCTGCGAGCAGCCGCCATGAGCGCGGTGGAAGCAGCGACCTGTCGAGCTAAGGAGCTCAGCAAGAAGTAAGCCAGGCTCCAGGTGAGACTACAGGTTCCTTGCCCAGCTTCGGCCTCTGAGTGGCGAGAACAGCCCCACATGGCTGTTGTAGCGTCACGGCCATCATCTTCATCAGAGAAGCTGTGACTACTTGTTAAAGGCCCTCAAGATCAGGTCTGTTGCCTGTGACAGTCAAGGAAGCAGGAGGTGCGGAGGGTCATTCAACCCCCATCTGTGATTCCAGCTCCTCTCTCCTGCACCTCTCGGCCAATTGTAATTGTGTCCTAATTGAACATGACCTCATGGTCTTATGGGGTAGATTATGTAACCCGTGGAAGATGAACTAAAATGCGAGAGTTTCCATCTTTGCAGATGTGGGATCATCATCATTCATGCTGGCATGAGGTGTTTTGATGGTGTGGTTGCTTTGTCACCCACACTGCTGTAAGCAACACCCCATCCATGCTCTGTAAGTCCAATAAACTCATTGGTTCCCCAAGTTGAACTTTGATGGAATTGTGCTTTGGTTTGTCCTTGGTATATGGAAGGGATAAATATATTTCCTCAGGGAGAGTATCTTCAACACTGGGTACCAGCCCCCTGCTTGCCCAGGTTCCCTCTATCTTCCCCTTGTCCCCACCTCTAAGGACAATGGTTCTCTATCCATCACATAAATGTTTCTACTTCGTCTCCACTTGGAAAAACTGTCCATCTCTGCAGGCCGCCTCGTTGCCCCCGCCCCCCAGAATAGCAATAATCCTACTTCTAAAGAGACTTAACAGGCAATGTTGGTTCTCAGGCACCTGAAAGCTTTTTTTGGAGGGGGGAGGCAGGAGTGTTGGAATCCACGATAGAGCTGCTAGCAACAAGAGCTGCTGAGGCTGGTCTAGAGCCCTGTCCCTTCTATGAATTTCCATGGACTGCTCAAAAGCCAGAGGTCAGACTAGTGGAGGATAGGGTAGGAATATCACAGGAATAGATGGCACTTGCCCAAGAAGCTCTCTCCCTCTCCTTGAAGCCAGAGTCTTGGCCCAGAGGAGGAAAGAGTTCCCAGTAGAAGCTGAAGAACTCCCCTTCCCTGAGCAGTCGGAAGGTGGCATGCCCTTCCATAGTCGAGGAGGAGCTCCTCCAAGGGGTCTCATGCTGCAGAACTATACTGTCCAACTCCTCCTGTGCTCAGGTTGCACCAGTCAAGTGGAAAAGCTGTCCAAGGTTTCAAAGATGGGTCCTAGCTAGCTTTGGAAGATGAGACCCCTGCTTCCAGCTGAACCTAAGCTGGCTCTAGGGCAGGCAGAGCTTAGTCTGGTACTACAACTACAGGGACTACCCTGGTAGCATGTGACTCTTCAGTAAATCCATTCCTAGACCAGCAGGTCAGGAAAACCAGGACTTAGGGGAAAGTGAGGCTGTGGGATGGAGGACTAGGGCTCTGAGGCTACTGCACAGGGGGGACCTAGTATGGCTCTGGCCCCTACCACAGTTACCCTCTCCACCAAAACTCCTGATCACTCTGACCCTAAGATGCTAACTCCCTCACGTTTACCCAGCAGCCTCCTGAGATTTGGTGGAAGCATCCATCAGTGTGGCTTGGGGCAGCTCCCACAGAGGCCATCTCCTAGCTGGGTGACACCAGAAACCTATCTATAAAGCAGGACTAATGGTACTCATAGGAAGAGGCTGTCTATCCCCAGTTCCACTACTCCAACACTGCAGCCCTTCCTCCTCTCAGCCCCTTGCCTTGGATGTACCCCTCTCATCCCATTTCCAGGGGGTGGCTCCTCTCCGCCCAGGGCTACCTGACTGGATTCTGGCATTGTCACTCGTCAGAAGGGCCATTCTGAGTCCAGTTCTTCCCCATTTGTAAGAATTTACGGAAAAACAGCCCCGCTGCTGTATTTATACACAGTGCTAAGTGAGCTGACCACTGATAATGAGAAGTCAAGCAATACAGATAGCAGAGGGTCCCATCCCAGCTGCAGGGTCACTTGCCTGTGTTGTGCAGACACAATCAGCTTCCCTGGCTTCTAAGCTATGCCAAGTCCTAGGATGGAGTCTCAGGGTCTGGTATTAGGCAGCCCACCTCCCAAGAGAATCACTGACAGTAAATCAACAGATGTTTCTCTCTGGGATGAGGGCTGGGAAGTGGAACATATCCCTTTGTTGCCTAGTCATGGTCCAGAGGTGACAAGCTGGGACACAGGCTGTTGGCTACTCAAAGAGGCAGCTTTGGGGCCATACAGCTGTGACACTGTCATCCAGGCCTCTTCCTGTTGTGTGTTGCTCATCCAGCCACTGCTTTCTGATGCTCATGGTATTCTTTGTAATCAATACTGTCCCTCTTTTGTGGCCTCCTCCTCCTCCCCCCCATGCTATGGAGTGTTCCAAATCCAAGCATTAGATTCAGTCACAAAAATAAGACTAAACCAGGGTGGCTGATGAAGTTGACCTGTTTCACCTTTATTACACAAGTGCCATTAGACCGGCTCACCAAGTGACATTGGACCAGCTGGCCAGGTGACCTTAGCTTTGAGCAAGGTTGAGTGTCAGAGAAAGGGCCCTACAATAAAATATGAAACCCACAAGCCCAAGATCCTACTGAGGGCAACTCATGGAGTCAAGATGCTCTTGTGGGCACATTTAGAAGAGGCCAGACTGTACCGGGTTCCAGCTGGGCTTCCCATAGGCCGTCCTAACCAGGTAGTGTAAAGGGCTCAGTCCTCAGAGGACCAACCTTGAGCTTGAGGTGCTCCCCTCCCCTCCTACCATTTATTTCACCTACGGCTTGGTTGCTTTTACTTTCCAAGGACATGGACCTTAGGGACAAGGCTGCCTGTGACCACTGCCCTCAACCCCAAAGCAGTGGTGGTGGCTCCAACAGAACCCACACTCACCCATCTTTCTGTGCTGGGTGCCTTCTCCAAACAATCTGTGTATGAATCTAAAGCAGGACCACTTAGCAGAAAAGGCTGCCTATACTTCCCAGGCCAAAGGATTGCTATACTTTGTGGGGAACAGGCAGACCTCTGGGGCAAGAGGCGCAGGATTCCTGCATGATTCCTGGTACATAGCAGAGGGCAATGGCTGCTGAAGAAAGAAACTGCCTTTTCACCCTCCTTCCTAGTTACTGCAACTCGGTGCCCACAGGGAGCAGCAGTGACGCGCAAATGGGTACACTGAGTATAAGGCTCTCGTAAGGGACCCATGAACCCCTAGGGAGCCCCATGAGACACTAAAAACAGAAAGGTGAGGTGACTGCACATCTTCAACACAGCTGCCTGTGGGGCTAAGGCCCCTGTGTAACAGATACACAGTACTGCAAACCCCGGAGATATAGGACTTCCTGCTGGGACAAACGGGTACCTGGGCAAAGCAGCCTCCTCCACAACGAGGACCCAGCCACTAGAGCCTCTGTCCGTAGCATGTAAAGAACAGCAGCATATTCCAGTCTAAAAATTTGCACTTTTTTTTAAATAGCGCTGTTGTTTGAACTCAGGGTCTCGTCTCAGGCATCCTAGCAAGCACCCTAGCATCCCTAGCCTGAGATGACACCTTTGCGCCTTCTCATGGGTGTCTCAGTTAATGATAGCGTACAGACACAAGCCTGACAGGAACTCTCTGACCCAGTCAGCCCACACCTGATTGTTTATAGGGCAGCAATATGGGACCATTGCAACCTCCTGGATCTTGGGTCCTCAGATGAAAGGGCTTGGACCGCTAGAGGGGCTGGTGAGAGGTCTCACTCCTGAGTCCTAGTCTCTGCCAACCCCAGTCTATCTGGGCCCAGGCCAAAGGAGGAAACACGATAGAAAGGACAAAGATAGAAGCCGATAGAAAGCTCTCTGAAAGAACAGTACAGGTAGCCTAGGCTGGAGCAGCTGCTGAGGCTACCCAGGCTGGATGTAAATCCAAGGCCCAGGCAGGTCTACATCTCCACAGACTTGGAAGTAGGTCTATCAAAGTCTGATGGCAGCTCCTAGCCTGTGTACCTAGGTGATACGGAAGCTGTTGGTATAAATACATTAGACTTCTGAAACCCCACCCAAGTTGCTAAGGTTGGAGACCCTCTACCAGCCACGACTGCCCAAGGTTCTCTAGGTCTTTAGGCTTGATGCCAGATATGTAGGTGACCAGATGGGCTCCAGTGTGTACAGATAAGAGTCTGCTACCTGAGCCTCCATTCTCTTGTTCCATGTGTTCCCTCAACTCTTAATATTTACGTAGATTTTTGATTGGGGTGGAGTGTGGTTGCAAGGAGCCGTATTCTTGGACTTACACGCAGATCACTTTTGGATACCTCATCCACGGCTCCATCCATTGCCAAGCTCTTGCATTCCTTGCCGTTCCCCACATCGTGTTTTCAAGGCTCAGACTATGAGGAAAGAAGTGAGGATAAGGGGCCAGTACTAGGACAGGGGCTCAGGACAGTATTTCTGCAAAGGCAATATTGGCCTTCCCTAAGACACAGGTGCCTCAGCTCTAGATCACCTGGAACAGTCTGAATTCACAGTTGGACAGAGCACCAGAGTGATACAAAATCTGGATATTCTTAGAGTCTTTTCTCCAACCTGGGCCATCCAGCAATAGTTCCTCAGCCACACTCTTGGCAATGCCAGGAGGTAGATGAGTCTAGAGTGGGGGCTGGTGCAGGAAGAGCCCATGGGTTCTCGAATCAACAGAGGTTGATTCAAAGGCACCATCATGTTCTCAGATGGTTGCAAAGGCTGTGACCTGTTTCCAGGTAGATCAGACAGCCCTAGAGCTGGACAAAGTGGTTGGTAGTTTGTCCTCCCATTGGTCAAGCCACCTGGGTCCAAATCTAAACACTTGCCAACATCACGAGTGGAAGATCTAATCAGAATGGAGTATTCTGAAGGACTAAAAATCCAAGTAGAACAGAATTGACTATACTTTGTTGCACCCAAAACCTTACCAAGCACTGGGCTTCCATTTCCCCACATCCCACTCTCTGTGAGTATTACCACCCAAGGTCAAGGAACTGGGGCCTAGCCTGAGCTCTGATCCAGCACCACAAGGGCCTTCAGTTATCAGAGCAAGGGCAAGATAGCCCAGAGACCACCTCACTCTTCCGGCACTCACGGTTCCCTATGAAGAGCATCTTTTAAAACAGGTTTAATGTGTTTTTAAAACAAAACCAAGTGCTTTCCCACTGAGATGAGGCCAGGCAGCACCAGGAGGGTCAGTAAAACAGAAGCAGCAGCCTCATCCAGAGCACAAGGGGGCAGGGGTAGGGGTGAGCCCCATAGGGGCCAGAACAGAGGTACAGTCAACTGTTCTCCAGTAGGTGCTGTGCTTATGGGCCCATATGTGCCTACTCAGCAAAGAGCATTTGCTCCTTTAAACTATTTCCCCAAGATACTGTGGATCGCAGGGCAGGGCATTCTTTACTGATGGAACTCCTCCATGCTGTGTTGGGCGTGCACCCCTGGACCTCTACAGTGGACTATACCAGGGAGAAAAGGTGGAAGACAACAGACTGTGTAGGCCCCCCTCTCTCCCAGTGCAGCAGGAAAAAGGCCAGTGGGCCACGGAGGTCACACACCACCATGAGCAGCTGCGGATGAGGGCCCGATGCCTCCAAGCCTCCGTGCCATGGTAATGAGGGAACGTAGCTGCACTAGCCTCACTGGCCCCACTTCCCGAGGATCCTGGCTCTCCAGCCACCTCAGAGCTGTCTCTAGACCCCAAACAGCTTCCCCAGCAGTAGGTACCAACATTCCTCCTTGCTCAGTGGCCTCCTCCTCCTCCTCTCCAGCCCCCATGCTAGAGGGCAGGCTGGCTGGGGATGGAGGGGCTGCGGGAACCACCGCCTCTCTGCAGCCCTCAGGGAGACCGCCATCATCATCCATGTGCAGCCACTCTGCCACCTCTTCAGGTGCCAGGCGCTTGTAAGCCAGAGCTGCCAGATGTGTGAGGTCACTGAGTACCCTGCTGCGCTCGGCAGCCTCCTCTACTTGGTGGGCTGGCTGCTGCCCAGGCTCAAAGGCTGCCCTAAGACCCAGCAGCCAGCAGCGCTCTATGCTGCCTGCTTGGACCAGGTCCCATGAGAGGCCAGCCAGGTATAGCATGTCCTTGAGCATGAAGCTTCTCATGAAATCTAGTGGGGAGCCACTGGCACAAGACACAGCAAGCCTCAGCAGCTCTCGTTTGTACAAATGTTTGAAGGCTGCCACCACACCATGCTCCAGCGGTGCAGGGATGTGTGCTCGGCTGTTGCCCTTGGACAAGAAAAGCACACGAACTGCACCATCAGGTGTCTGCAGCTCCTCTGGGGACCCAAGGAGCTCAGGCTGGTACTGCCTAGGAGTCTCCTCACTCTCCTCCAGGGCGGGTACTCTATTGGCCCAGCTTGGACAGGGTGGATGGGCCACTAGCAACACCGCTTTCTGCTGCAGGCAGCTTCGGCGCAGGTAGCGCTTGACGCCAGGGACGAATTCCTCAAAGAACCAGCCCCGAAGAAGAGGACGACTGAGCCAGGCATCCGGACTGTAGCGGTAGGAGGCCGGGAATTTGTCCTGGTTGTGGTGACGCAAGCTGGGTGGGTCTGGTAGTTGTCCGATAACTAGCGGCTTCAACTTGTGGCTGCCCGTCAGGTTGGCAGCCAACAGAACTGTCACTCGGTCGCCGGGCCAGCGCCGGCTGCACCCACCAGGCCCGCTGGAGTCCCCAACGCCTGGAGTTGCGGTCTGCTCTGGAAGTAACCTCCAGTACAGACCAGTAACGTTGGCGTTGTAGATCTGTTCGTCACCATAGCCGCCCTCGGAGTGGGGTAGAGTGGCCAGTGCACGGTCAGGTAGAACTGCGCCGGGTGGCTGCGCAGGCTCCTCCTTGACAGGTGCAGGGCCTGCGGCCGGGGGCTCGGCCTCGCCATAGATGCGCTGGCTGGAGATGCCATGGCGCTTCTGCCAGCGCCAGAACCAGCCGTGGCTAGCCTTGAAGGTACACTCGGGGCCGTAGATCTGGCGAGCAAAGGCCTCAGCCTGCGCTTGGATGACCGGACCGGACAGCGGCACGCCGTGCTGGCGCAAGGTGAGGAACCACGAATAGACGGCGCGGTCGATCTCCTCCTCGTTGGCCAGACGCATCTTCTTGCGCTGCGTGCCCACCTCTCCACCAAGTTGGTCCAGAAACCAGCGCAGCTTGGGCTCGTCCTTGAGCCAGCCGCGCAGAGTGCCGCCCGGTACGCCAAAGTCGCGGCACACGCTGGCCTGCCGCTCACCGCCCTTGACGCGTTCGATGGCTTGCAGCTTGTCTTTGATGGAGTAGGCCTTGCGGAAAGTCATTTTTACGGCCACGCGGGGCCGCGGCCCGGGCGCGGTGGGCGGCGGGTGCGCTACGGGACCCTGGCCGGGAGCCGGTGATCGCGGAGACTCAGCAAGGCTCCGGGGCGGGGGAAGACGAGCACGATGAGGGACAGGGTGCAAGGTCGGGCCGGCCGGCGGGCTCGTGGGGTACATAGCGTCAGAGCCAGGGACCACCGGGCTAGCGAGCTTGACACCCCGCGCGGGCCGCTCGGGGCGGTGCTCGGGGGCGGGGCTGCCCGGGTCCCACCCTTTTGTCTCGCCGGCCGTGTCGGGACAGGCACTCTAGTCCCGCCCCCTCTGCCTCGTGGCGCCTGCGCACGGTCTGGATTCGGACGCGTCAGCGGCGCGTGCGCACACCAACTCCGTTTCGTCCCGCCCTAGTCCGGCCGGCTCCACTCTTCGTGCCTTGGAGGGGTGCTGCGTGTTGGGACGTCCGGTTCTCTGCTGTTTGTAACAACTCCTCGAGTGAAGCGCGGCGCCCGAGGTAGCTGCCCCGTGACTTCTGCAAAAATGGTTCCTGCATGCATCGTGGTGCATGCTCCACGGGTGAGGCAGCGCGTGCTCAGGGTTGTGTCCCCCGCCGGGCCTCTTGTGGTCTGTGCCGCTGCGTTTTCCGGGAGCTGCGCGGTCGCCCTCCCTTTCCTTTGCAGTCCTGAGCTCGCAGTTCCAGGCTTTGGTTGCTGCGTCTTTGGCTGGCGTGTGAGTACCGCGGGCCCCGCCTCAAGGAGCGCACGTGCGGCAGAGGCTGGAGTGCCCCGGCCCCGGGCCGTTCGGGTTGGCTCCAGTGGATCAATGAGGACTACGGGCGGGTGTCTGGTCCTGTGTGGGGCCGAGCCGGTGGCCACATGGTTGCCAGCTTCCTGAGCGCTGTTTCAGGCTGGCTGCGCAGCGGCCTGCCACGGCCATGACTGACACCCTTACCGGGCCGGCGTTCGTCTGCCCCAGCTGTTACCAAGGTCCTAGGACCTTGCGGTTAAGCACCGAGGGCATACCGAGCTCTAAGGCGTAGAGGGAAGTTGATTCGGGTGCAGCCTTGTGGAACGGCACACGAACACAGGGGTAGAGAAAAGGCATGTGATGCCGGTTGGCTCAAACGTAACGGGGCCACTTACTGATTTGAATAAGATGATCTGGGCAGTTTTCTTGGGAAAGGGTCGTTGAAGGGCACGGGCCGTTCTTTTTCTAATACATGAGCGCTCTCTCTCCCAGCGTCATGGTTTTCTAGAGTGAAAGGCCACCTCGCAGCAAAAGAACTTGTTGAAGCTAATGTTGAGATGCCCCCCCTCCCGGGGGGGATGCTTCTGAATTGGCCCTATCACTCAGGGGTGATAACTCAGTCTCATCTCAGGCGGATACTCAAGGGTGAAGCAAAAGATGGATGGAACAGGACCACCCGGTGCCCCCTGAGCCAATCCCATGGGGAGCAGAGTCAAGAGAAAGAAGTCCTCAAAGGGATGAGGAGTCCCCTCCCAGGCTCCGTGGTGGCTAGTTCAGCATGAGCCTCCGCTTTGACTGCAGAACTCCGTAAACAGCTGCAGCGTTAGCGTTGGCCGAGGGAGCCACTTAGACTTTCTTAACCTGGAATGTGCGCTGCATGGCTTGCTGTCCTCTCAGGAGGAAGCTGGTACAGGGCTAGTTCTCCAGGCTCAGCCTTTGGATAGCTGAGGTTCCAGGGCTTACTGCAAATGAGGCAGGGGTGCATGAGAGGGTTTGATGGTCAGAAAGAGTGGCTCTTGGGGACTGTAGGCAGAAGATAGTGGTGTGTGCTTGTTGCAGGTTGGAGACATTTCCAGGTACTGGAACGTGCCTTGGTCTCCAGCTCCACATATCACTTACCTCAGCACATTTGGGTGGTTACACCAGTCAGAGCCTTCATTTTCCTTTCTGGGTCTAAGATGTCACACTATCATTCCCTGCCTAAGTATGGGGTTTGGCACAGGTGTTATCAAGTGTAAAGGAAGAGCTAAGAGGGCAAGAGCTGTCTGGCAAGCCCCAGGACCTGTGTGTCAGGTCAGGGTACCTCAGGTTGGAACAGAAATAGAACCAACAAACCATGGCATTTGGGCCTGCCTGGGCTTAGGCTGGGCACTAGCCTTTGGGGCTCAAGATGGGCAAACAGCACAGGCCAGTGTTTCTGGAAAGGACTGGGACATCCCGGAGCAGAGAAGCAGGGTGGGAACTTGGGGATGTAGAATTGAACCCATGAGAGGACATTATCACTCCTGTGCCTAGTTATGACTAAAAAGTTAGCCTTTGCTTTGAGTCCTCCACATTCTGAGTGCTACCGTGGTTCACGGACTCAGGCTAGCTGAGCAAGGGAGTGTTGCTACTGGGTTGCAGGGGTGTGAGTTGGACCTGCTGGTAGACCCCATTCCCTACCCACCTTGCTCATGAGGACAGTGAATGTTGGGAGCCCATCAATGACCGAACCAATGTGGTGACATGCTGTTTGTGAATGTCCAGAGGACAGTAGGTGTGGGACTTAGGGCTCAGAAAGCCAGCCCGGAGGGAAATTTTCTCTATTGTTCCCAGCCATGGAACCCTTCAGATGTTTGCTGCCGTGGTGGGGCACAGCTGTGACATAACTGTTCTCATCTTCCTCGGGGTCCAGTCCCCTAGCCAGAAGTGTTGCTGGCAGGAGCCCTGACTAGTCCAAATTAGTAAGTAGAAGCTATGAGAGTCCTAAACACTTGTGTCCTTCTTTGGAGAGCAGATGTAGGTTGGCCCTCGGAAGCTACAGCTTAGCCAGTTAGCTCTTTGGCAAGTTCCTTGTGAGTGGGGCTGGGTCTGAGTCCTGGTACTTAGGACCTATAAGGCCTTGTCTATCAGGTGAGCTCCTGTATTCAGGGCCCTCCAGAGCTTAGACATTCTCCGTCTCCCACACACAAAGGATCTTGACAGCTCACCTCTGGTGACCAGTCTTGCTTTCTGGACTCTAGCCTATATCCAGGAGCAGGGCAAGGGCGTCTGTCTAGGTCCTTTGGCATGTCTGAGCCTGCTTCTCTGGAAGTTGGCTTCCTTTCTGGTACTTCTGTCTCTTTGGCATGTTTCTGCTATTGCCTAGATAAAACCTCAGGAGAAAGGCCAGCCCTGTTGTAGGGACATGGGTGACAGACTTGTCCTTGTGGGGGTTTGAGAAATTCACTGCTGCATGTTTCCAGGCTGTTTTTCCTGGATGGCTGCAGGTTTGCATGTGTGTATCCTCCAGGGAAGCAATGGAGTTCAGGTATGCCCAGTGTGGGTGCAAACTGGCTAAAGTTCTCAAGCCTGTTGTACACCTGTGGGGAAAGTAGGTTGGGGAAGACTGTGTCCTTTGGGAGCCTTTGCTACTTGTGCTGTCTTGGGTTGGCATCCCTACCTGCTTGGTCTCTATCCCCCCAACCCAGAGGTAAGAGACCCAGTATCAGCATGGTCACTGGGTCTTGGTGGCAGCTGAGCCCACAGCTTAGAGCTGTCTGGACCACTTGGTGCCTTGGAGATAGGGCAGTGGGGGAGTGTCCTTATCTTTTAAAGCCTTACCAGTGAAGGGGAGCCTTCTTCACAGCTAAGGGAGCATCTGTAGGTGCCAGCTCACCTTATTGCAGGCTGTAGGCACAGGAAAGGACAGGGTGGGAGCAGGTAGCTTCCACGGTGGTTTTTGTTTGTCTCCTAGTTATTAGGAACCCAAGAGCTACATATCAGGGGCTAACGGGAAAGTGCTACCTCTCAATTAGGAGGACCAGGCAGCCACCTGGGATTAGATGGTGTGTCTCTTATCCTCTGTTGCCGTGCCACCTCGACAAGCAGCTTCTGAAAGGCCACCCAGGCTGCCCAAACCGCTGTCTGGCATGGGTGGCCTTTCCCACTGCTCTAACCTTGCTGCTTTTCCTTCATGCTGTCCTAGGAGGCCAAAGCAAAAGTAAGTACACCTGCAAAGTGCCCTGTGTCTCCTCCCTTCACCCGAGCCAAGGAACCCCGTCATCACCTTGCCCGAAGGAGGCATACCTAGGCAGAGCTGAGCTTGCTAGGACAGGGCAGTGGTGTGATGAGCTGTTCTAGTAGCAAGTAGGTACCCATGTGGCCCTCACACCAAGCAAGTCAGCATATAGCCCTCTGCCCTATGGAGAAGTGGTGGCCATTCGTGAAGATGTGGCCTAAGGAAGTATCCAGTCTTAGTGACCCTGTCCCTTCTTGGAAGTAGCTACATCTGTTGCCTTCAGGAGGGTTCCATCCAAGTCTAAGTTTGGTAGAGAGCCAGTTTAGTGGGCGTTGCTGAAGGGAATGGAGGGTCAACCTAGAGAGCAGTGCAGCCTCAGGGACTGGAAACCAGGAGTCAGTCAGGTCCTGTTGTGATGGCATGTGCTGCCTCCTTGGTGACAGTGGGTGATGTCACAATGCTGTGCTTCTTGGGATCCTGCTCAGTCCCTGCCCCTGCCCCTGCTACTTGGCCTTGGTAAGTGAGGGGGTGGTCTGGAGACTTCTCTACACAAGGTCTTTGTGGCTCCTGGTCCTGGCTCCTCACAGTGGGAGGAGAGCTTGGGTGGGCTGCATTAAAGAAAGTTAGCTCTCACTTAGAGGTAGGCTCCAGGGCATGACAATCTGAGTCTTCCAAGGTTCTGAGCATAGGTGAGATTTGGATAGCTTAACACTCTTCCAGTCAAGCGTTTTGCCGGGTATATTAGGAAAAGGTCGTAGCCCGTTTGCTCTCCAGCCAAAGGGTTCCCTTCCTCTGCACGAGAGCCTGCCAGACGACCAGGGTGTTATATAGACTCACAGTAGCAGCATCTACTACCCCAGTCCGTGAATTTTGTTAGTTGAGTCCAGACTACAATGTCTTGGAATGGCTACCCTTCTAGGGCAAATACACTAAGAGTATTTACCTGTGGCCTTGTGGGCTGGCTGGTAGAGCCTGGAGCCTGCCTTTTCCACGGTGCCTCTTTCAGCTTCAGGAGTAGTGGAGGCAAGCCCTCCCTTATGGCTGTTGCTGTGTGCTTCAGAACCAAACCCCGCCGAGGGGGCGGAGCTTCAGGTAGCTCCATGTCCGGTAAGGAAGCTGAGGCCAGAGTCCTGTCCACTGATGACAGTAGCCAGTAGGATGTGGTATCCTGAGACTCTGAAGGCCCCATGATGACCCTTCGGTTCAGATGGATATAGAGTTGTGGTCTGGTGGCCTCCTGGTTGGGAGGTGGTGACAGCTGATTAAGGATCCCTGTTGATGGTGGGCAGTCAGTCCTGGCCCCGTCCCTGTGAGGTCAGTCAGGCTCACAGACACTCTCCCTTTCCCAAGACTCCTGCCCCTGCTCTGGAAAGGCCCACAAGTCTGGACAGGGTTATTGTGTGGCCAGGGTAGGTTTAGGTGACTTTCAGCGGGGCTACATCCACCTTGACAAGTCCCTGTCAGTGAACTGGAAACATCAGCCACCACTAGGCGGTGTCAGGCTCAGCATATACAGAAGCACAGCCAGTCTTAAGTTTGATTTCAGTAAGCCATGAGTAATTTACTGTAAGTAAGCATACATCTCATGGAATGTGTTTACACTTAAAAAAAAAGCCTACTGATTGTTTTTATTAAAGCCTACTGTAAATGAGTACAGCTGTTTGTTTTGTTTGGCACCCTATCTGGGGACCCCTTGAGAAAAGGTATCTGCTGAGTTTGGAGGTGTTGTTTAGATCCCTTTCTCAAGCTGTGGGCTTATTGGGTTAGCAAAGGCAACAAATGCAATAATAAGACGTGGGTGTGTGCCTATATATGTATGCTATTATTTACCAAAGCTCCTGGTATGGATTTGATGTCCATGCCCTTGCATGTCATCCGGTCAAGCCCCTTTCGGTGGCTTGCCCTCTCATTTGCCCAGGCCTCCCTGCCCACCCTTGCCTACCAGACTGCGGAGGGCGAGGGAGGCAGGTGCCTCTGCCGTGTTGCAACTGCCCTTCTTGTGCTTGCTTTTTAACGCTGCGCCCGAAGATGAGGAGTGGGAAGGCCTCTTGTGCGCTGGAGACCGTCTGGGAGGACAAGCACAAGTATGAGGATGCAGAACGGCGCTTCCATGAGCATGAGGCCACGCGAGCCGCCGCCTCCGTTCAGCAGCTCCTGGCCAAGGTGCCAGCTGTGAACGGGCCCAGCCAGGAGGACACAGAGGACGAGGCAGAGGCCCCCCACACCGACAGCAGGAGTGATCCTAGGAAGAGCCACGAATGCAAGAAGCCCCTACAGAAAAAGAGGAAGCGTTCCCCCAAGAGTTGGCTTGGCCAGTCAGACCTGGCCCTTGTGGGCCTCTCAGCTGACCACGTATGGCTGGACAAGCCCCTCTTCGACCAGGCAGAAAGCTCCTACCGCCAGAGGCTGGCAGATGTGGCTGCCCAAGCAGCCCAACCGCCTGCTCTGGCCCCTAGAGCCCCCTGTACGCATGGAAGCCATGTGGCCTGCCACCACGTGACCTGGGGGATCTGGGTCAACAAGTCTTGTTTTGATCAGGCTGAGCGGGCTTTTGTGGAGTGGTCTCAGGCCTTGCTGCTGGCGGTAGAGGGGAGCCGCAGGCAGGGGACTCCTGACACAGGCCAGCAGGCTGCCTCTCCTGATCTGGCCTTGGCCTGCCAGCCTTGCCCACCAGCTAATGGCCAGCCTCCTCTGGGCAGCCTGCAAGCACTGGTGCGGGAGGTGTGGCTGGAGAAGCCCCGGTATGATGCAGCTGAAAGGGGCTTCTATGAGGCCCTATTTGATGGCCACCCCCCAGGGAAAGTACGTCTGCAAGAGCGAGCCAGTCAGGCAGAGAGTGCCCGGAGGGGCCGCAGAGACCGTCGGAGTCGCAATGCAGTAGGAAACAAGCGAGCTGGGTCAAAACGGGCTGATGGGGAGGCCCCCTCTTCTCTGCCCTACTGGTACTTCCTACACAAGGACGCAGAGGCCCCCTGGCTCAGCAAGCCTACTTACGACAGCGCTGAGTGCCGCCACCATGCTGCTGAGGCCCTGCGCATAGCCTGGCGCCTAGAAGCTGCCTCCCTGGCTCACCGACCCACGCCCCGTTCTGGCCCATCCATGTCCAACCTGAGACCCAAGTAGGAGAAATGTGGCTGCAGGTGTCGGGACTGACCTGGGCTATGAGAGTACTAGGGACAGCTGTCTCTAGGCTGGTGTCCCTCGTGCCCCCTGTGGACCTGACCAGCTTGACTGTAGGGTGGGGTGGGCACCTATAGTGCTCTGCCCTCGAGGGTTACAGAGTTCTGACTTGCTGGTGTTGGTTGGGGAAGGGGTCTACATAAGTCTAAGCCCCCTATCACGAAACCCAGAAGACAGATTATTGGCAGGGTGGGTGGGAAACCTTGTAGCTGGGTCTCCGGCACCTGACAGGTGTTGACACCCACAGCCCAGGCTATAGTATGTGCTCATGGAGGTCTGGTGGGCCTTAAATCTGAGCTGCACATGGCTGACAGACTCCGAAGGGTGCTTGTCTTTTACCTCCCAGTGAGGAGAGAAACCTGCCTTTAGCCCAGAGCCCCCAAGGGGTCTTACCCCAGTACAAGTGGGTAGAGCCCTAACAATGGTCTCTGAAGGCCAGGAAAGGCTTTTGGGTCGTAATATTTGACCACTGGAGGTGGCCCCTAGGCAGATAGGTCTGATGGATAGACGTGGAAGAGACAGGAGTAACACCAGTGGTGAGGGGAGAGTGGGAATGGAACCCAGTGGTCCGCCACCCACCTGCCCGTGTCAGGGCTCTATTCTTGTTAGAAGGCACTTGTTTGATGATGGCATGAGGCTTCCTACACAGAAAATTGGCAGAGAGAGTGGTTGGTCTGTCGTACCTGGTAGGAAGGACGGGCTAGTGAACGGTGGGCTCTGTGAACACTTCGCAGCCCCTAGCTCCCATACTGCTCCAGGTTTAGAAGCTCCATGGTGGGACATGACTTGCATAGGCTTAGTGAGCCAGACCCTGGTCTAGAACAGCAGTTCTCAGACCCTAGGGCTTTCATTGTACTCTTGATGGTTTTTTTCCATCTTAATCAAAACTTAAGTACTAAGAGTACTTACATACTGAAAAAGACAAACACGTTGCATGCTGTGATGACACATTTTGTGAACAACAAGTTTAGGGGACAGTGAACTTGTCTCATTGTTACAAACCCGTTTGGCTGCAGGGTGGGTCGGCGGCCGGCTGCTGATCTTACGGTTGCTTTTGTGCTCTTGCTGTGTTGGTTTGGGGTATGGTTGGATTGTGTGGTCAGAAAGTCAGGGCCTGCGTGCCTGGTGGTCTTAGGCAGCAGAGAGGCATTTCATGAGCCAAGCAGGACTGTGAGCTAGCCCAGCATGCCAAAGCCTTCATGGCACCCCTAGTCCAAGGTACTTAGGCAGGATAGACCTGGCGCCTGTGGGGAAGGGGAAGTCTGTGGTTGACGGCGGACTTTTTCTAGCCACACTTACCTGGCCACTTTTTTCCCATCTCAGCAGAAAAATGGCTACAAACTTTCTAGTGCACGAGAAGATTTGGTTTGACAAGTTCAAATACGACGATGCGGAGAGGAAATTCTACGAGCAGATGAATGGGCCTGTGGCTGCTGGCTCCCGCCAGGTGAGCACTGTGCTTAGGGCTGGCAGAACCGCGTGGGCCAGAGACATCTTTTTAGGACCAAGGGGCCCTGTTGAAGAAATCTTCAGAAAGACCTTGGCTGAATCCTGGGGTGCTTCTGCCCTCGGCCTCTGATCCTAACATGGGACTCTTGCTGCTCCCAGGCGTCTGGGGTGGTGTGTGGCCAGGCCGCTGCTTGTACGGCTATCTGCAGACTTTGTGGTCCTGGCCTCGGTCACTTTCTGCTTTTCTGTCCTGGGAGCTTTCATTCTGTGTAATGCATTCATCTCCTTGTAATGCATTCTTGCTTTTTGAGTGAGGGTTCTTAGGGATTTTGTTTTTGTGTGTGGGGTTTGTGTGTGTGTGTATGTGTGTTTGTCTAAAAAAATTTTTTTTTAAAACCAAAGCAAAAAAGACTAGTTCTTTCTGCACTGTCTGCAGGAGAATGGTGCCAGCGTGATCCTCCGTGACATTGCGAGAGCCAGAGAGAACATCCAGAAATCCCTGGCCGGAGTGAGTACCCACGACCCATGTACCCATGGGCTCGTGCTCGGCCAAACAGCATGTCTGAGTTGTTTTTTTCTTTTTTTCAGCCCTTCAGTACTGCTGACTATTTTGGCCTTGGAGCAAGTTAGGGCTCAGGGTGTGGTGCTGTGCTCTTGTAGTGTGTGAGTGCTGAGGCCTCCATAACCACACTGCCATGGAAAATGGTCTTGCTCTCTAGACTCTTCCATGTCTCTCTCTCGTGCGTGCTGGAGTTACTCTAGCTATTCCTGCGGTGCCTGCCATGGGCTGCCTGGGCTAAGGGGTGTCATTTTGTAGGGTGTGGACTGTAGGCACGTGCCTTGCAAGACTGTTCCTTCCTGCTTGCTCCCTTGCCGAAGAAGCACACATCCCTTCATGAAAAGGGGGTAGTTATTTAGTGAGGTACGCGAGTCAGCATCACCTTGAACTAAGGCCTGGAAGAGGGCACCCTACATGGCTCCCGGGGTCTCAGACCAAGGCTGGGTGTACCCCATCTAGCTCTAGCATTCTGGACTAGCTGAGGAAGGTGTCCCCTTTAGATGGCAGGCAGACGAGAAGTCAGGCCCTCAGGCTGTCTCTGGAATGGGCTTATGTCCTGGAACAGGTTTTCTGATGGCTCTTTAGTGGGTTACCACAGCCTTACTGCTTAAGACAATGTGAATTTGTCATCAGATGGTCCTGAAGGCTGGAGGTTGAAATAGGGGTAGAGGCAATGGAGTTGGGTTCCCTCTGAGGATCTGCACTGTAGAACAAGGTCTTTGAAAAACAAAACAAAATAACCTCAAAGCTCCAGCTGAGGTTCCTCACTTAGAAGTCCTGGAGACAGGGGGCCTACGCTCCCTACTGTGCTCAGGGTCTAAGCTCCCTACTGTGCTCAGGGTCTAAGCTCCCTACTGTGCTCGGGCCTGCGCCCACTGCCATCTCTACAGCAGCTTTAGAGGCATCTTGTGGGGCAGAACCAAGGTGTCCATGGGGTCCTTCAGAAGTCTGGAGAAAATCCACTCTGTCTGGTCATCCCTGCCGTGCATAGAGCAGTGGTTCTCAGCCCTCCTAACGCTGCAGCCCTTTACCACAGCTCCTTATGCTGTCGTGCCCTTGACTGTAAAATTGTTTAATTGCTACTTCAAAACTTAAGTATCTGTTTTCTAATGGTCTTAGGTGACGCCTATGAAAGGGTCACGACCCAGAGGTTGAGAACCACTGATCCATACCCATAGTTCCATCTATTAAATCTGCTTTGCTATGTAAACTAACATAGAGATTCAAGTACAGCCATTCCTAGGGCACTAGTTTACCAGATGGTCAAGAATGCACAACCTTTCAGAAGGCTGCACACCCCTGAGCCCTTCCGGGTCCTGCCTGACTCCTGTTAGTTCACATCCTGTCATCCTCAACCAAACTCATGATCCCATGCACACCCAGTCTCGGTGAACATGGAGTTAGGGAGAGAGATTTATGTGCTTGGTCCGGCACATTTGAGCTTCAGCATCCAGAAAACCGAGTCGTTCTCAGCAGCCATTTACTGTCCTGGCTCTGGGCTGCCCCTTGCCATGTCCTTTCCTTGGTACCAGGCCTGCTGTCTAGCGTGGGAGAGCCCTCAGGTGTTGTGGAAACAGTCCCAGCATTCTAGCCTAGCATACACTCACGTATTCTAGTCTTCGGAACTGCTTGGCCTTGCTTGCAGGTAGACTGAAGGTATTTTCCCTTCCATGCCAGCTGTGCCAAAAGTCCGACCATAGTGCTCTGCTGCCACATGCAAGTTTTTAAAAAAGAAAGAAAGAAAGTCACATTTGTTGTCAGCCCAAATGCTGCTATGCTTGTGTTTGGCAAGACCTGTGTGTCTGTTACCTCTCGTGTGGAGTAGATTCTGCCTAGCAGATACTAAGAGCGCTCGTCACCCTCTCTCAGAGGATGTCCTAGCAGGGCTTGCTCAGATCTGCTTGGGCTAGGACTTGCATGCAACTATTTCTTCAGAGCCAGCAACTCCCCCACTATGAATGGAACTAACATGAGAACATGAAGCTAGACGCATGGGTTTCCTGCACGGGGAGCCTGCCCTGTGCCCTCCTGGGGCCACCTCAGGAGCATGATCACAGGTGTCGGCACCACCTCCATGCTCTTTCTGTCTAGCCCCTCAATTGCTTTCCCCTCCTATTTCTAGCTCAAGGTGATGCTGCCCAAATCCCCTGAGGCCCTGGGCCAAGCCACCCCTGGGACTGTAAGTCCTGCTGCTTTCTTTGTTTGGCTCCCTTGTCCTAGCCTCTGCTTGGCTGAGAGTGTCACAGTGGGCTGTATAGCCATTTCCTGAAGGCCACAGGTCTTCCCTGCTCTCCCTGGGCAGAAAGTCTGTTTCATGGTCCCTTATCTACCTAGGCCTTCCTGTGTTGCTTCTCCAGCAGTTCCTTAACCAAGTACTGTAGGGGATCCTGTAAGACTGTGCCTTTGCCAGACCTTCAGCTTGGTCTGGGCTCTGCTTCTGAGTGGCTGTAAGGGAATCCAGAAGCAGGCTAAAGTACTAAGATCAGTGTTCCCCTCCCTTGCAGAGCTCAGGCCCTGGGGCCTCCAGTGGACCTGCTGGAGATCATAGTGAGCTCATTGTACGGATTGCCAGTCTGGAAGTGGAGAACCAGAACCTTCGAGGCGGTGAGGGCTTGGGCCTGACAGGTGGGGCTCCAGTTCCAGCCTCTGCTATCTGACTGGTGTCTCCCTTGTGCCCACAGTGGTGCAAGATCTGCAGCAGGCCATTTCCAAGTTGGAGGCCCGGCTGAGCACTCTGGAGAAGAGTTCACCTACTCACCGAGCCACAGCCCCTCAGACCCAGGTGAGTACCCTTTCCAACTTGGGAAGGAGCCTTGGAGTTGTGCTCCTGGCTTCATCTTCCAGAGGGCTAACTGAGTCTCAACCTTCCTCCCTTCCTCTATGGCAGCATGTGTCTCCTATGCGTCAAGTGGAGCCCCCAACCAAGAAGGCCGCCACACCAGCAGAGGACGATGAGGACAATGACATTGACCTGTTCGGCAGTGATGAGGAGGAAGAAGACAAGGAGGCGGCCCGACTACGGGAGGAGAGGCTTCGGCAGTACGCAGAGAAGAAAGCCAAGAAGCCCTCACTGGTGGCCAAATCCTCCATCCTCTTGGATGTCAAACCTGTGAGTGGTGGTGGGCCTCTGGGAGAACCAGAAACAGAACCTTATAACCGGAGCTGGAGGCTGGGGTGTTGTGTGGCCTGACCACAGCCTCCTGGGTCTTGATAGAAGTTTAAAGACCTTGGCATAAGAACAGAAATGTGGAGTAGGGCACGTGTAATTTTGGGACTGTTTCTTGTATAGTTTGGTGGTGGTGGTGGTGGTGGGGTTATGGGCATTCCCTGTGGTATTCTAGAGGTTTCTGAGATGGCTCACTCCGCCTCGCCCCCCCCCCTTTTCGCACAGTGGGATGATGAGACAGACATGGCCCAGCTGGAGGCCTGTGTGCGTTCCATCCAGTTGGATGGGTTAGTCTGGGGGGGCTCCAAGCTCGTGCCTGTTGGCTATGGAATCCGGAAGTTGCAGATCCAGTGTGTGGTGGAAGACGACAAAGTGGGCACCGACTTGCTAGAAGAGGAGATCACCAAGTTTGAGGAGCATGTGAGTGGGCATGAGTACTAGGGTGGGAAGACCAGGTGGATTCTGGGACGTTGGCTCCACTGCCCCACATCACACCCCACTGTGAAGGCTGAGCAGGTAGGCCTCTAGGCAGTCCGTAGCAACAGTCTTTGTCTCCATCCACAGGTGCAGAGTGTCGACATCGCAGCTTTCAACAAGATCTGAAAGTTGGAGAGTGTGTGGTTCGTGTGTGTGAGGACCTAATGAGATTAAAGACTGAGACCCCGCACTCTGGCTCTGTGGTGTTACTTGATGTGCAATACTCTGCCAGGCTCTACCCATTCTTGCCTAGCCCACCTTTTGCCTCTTCAAGCCATTTGAGCCAGAAACAGAATCCATTGGGCACATATTTGTCCACCCTGTGCCTCTTGTCCCTGCTGTTGTGACTGTGTGGAGTCTGCCTAGGCCTGATCTAACATCACTCCTCCCTCCTTACCTCTGGAGGGGCAGTGCAGTTAACTGAAGGGGGGCTGTAGCGCCTGCCCTATGGGACAGTATGCGAGCCGGGAACTAGACTGGAGATTTAAACACATATGCACACAGAGACACGGGGACACGGGTCATCCTTGAAACAAGAATGCCAACTTTATTGTACTCCAAGGAAACTTATATAGGGATCCTTTTTTATTATTATTATTTATTAAAAATTTCCACCTCCTCCCCACTTCCCTTTTCCCTCCCCCTCCCCAATTATATAGGGATCCTTAACTGATAGCCACACCCCAGCTCTTGGGATTTCCAGCTGTAAAACCCACCAGAATTCACTCCTCTGCCATCAGGAACTCATGAGAGTCTCATGCTCAGAGCAGCTGCAGACACAGGAAAACAAGTTGCTTCACTCCAGCAGGCAAAGCGTCTGAGGCAGGCAAAGTCAAGGGGCCAGGAGTCTGCAGCCCCCAACAAAGGGCCAATCTTTCATGTTCTGGGATGGTTAGAATATGGACAGCCAGCTGTACTGTGTGGAATTTTTCTGCCCATTCCACTGTGGTCAGTGCTTGGGTATTTGGTGAAATCGTGTGGATGCCTGGTGAGAGGTGCCAAGTGTGGCTGGACCTTGCCAGTGCTGTTGATCATGCTCCTTAGCCTCGAGGAAGCAATGTGGTCCCTCCTCCTCAAAAGCTTTCCGGTGGGGCCTGGGATGCAGGGTCCAACAAAAGCTGTAACCTGAGGAAGGATGATGTAGCCTGTAGCCGTGACTTCTCTCCAGAAGATGGGGTTTCAATTCCCAGCTCACAACCAGGTGTAATTAACTTCAACTCCAGGCAATCTGGTGCCCTCTTCTGGCCTCTGAGCTTGAAGTCTGCCTGTAGTACAGAAGCACCCACACACTTTTCCCCCTTTTCTTTCTTTTTGAGAATAAATTTGGCTGACCTGGAACTTGTTAGATTGCCCTGTGGTGTCTGCTTCCCCAGGGCTGGGATTAAAGACATTCGCTACCACTCTGAACAAAAACTATCTTAGGACTTTGACTCACTATGGACCTGGTAGCTGGGTTGAACAAACATGCCCCTGACTGGTGCTTGGGTTCCCTACTCACCTGAAAGGCAGCTCTGGCCTCTAGGGGCTCCTGGTTTTCCAGGGAGATGCTCACAGTTCTGTAGGTAACCCTATTTGTCCAGCCCTGCTCTGGGGCGAAAGGCTAAAGTACAATCTTATCAAGCACTCCAACCCTGTTAAGTTTGGCGTTGCTGTTTTGCCTTTGCCCCTGCTAGTTGAAGTTCACTATCCTGTAAGAACCATTCTCAAGGGCAAACAGCAGAGTCAAGTAGGCAGGGCTAGAGGTAGGCTGTTTGCCTACCTTGCTGGTTTGGGTCCCTGCAACTAGCGGTGTTTAGGTGGTTTGCCCCGCCCACTGCTGCTGGGAAAGGCCCGCCTCTGGGTCGGTTAGTTCCCTGGACCAGTGCCCTGGGGGGCGGAGTAGGGCGCCATTAGCCTGGCTTGTCATTCTGCGTTTACGGTGCTGAATTGCGATGGAGCTGGACGGCGAGGAGCGCGCGGTGGTGCGGCCACTGCTCACCGACCTCTACCAGGCCACCATGGCGCTGGGCTACTGGCGTGCAGGCCGGGCATGCGAAGCAGCAGAGTTCGAGCTCTTCTTCCGCCACTGTCCGTTTGGAGGCTCCTTTGCCCTGGCCGCCGGTCTGCGGGACTGTCTGTGTTTCTTGCGTGCCTTCCGTCTGCGGGACGCAGGTAGCTCCACAACCCGCACTGGTGGTACTCCGGCTAGGAGAGAATCCCGCTCCCGTGCCCCTGACCTCTGTCTGAGGGGACCTGCACTTGCCCGGTCAAGTCCTCCCCCAGATCACACATGTATTCTCTATTCCCCCAGACGTGCAATTCCTGGCTTCAGTGCTACCCCCAGACACTGACCCTGCGTTCTTTGAGCACCTTCGGACTCTTGACTGCTCTGGGGTGACGGTGCGAGCCCTGCCAGAGGGTTCCCTCGCCTTCCCTGGTGTGAGTGTCCTGCGATCTGGGTGGGGGGTGATCCAGGAGCTCCCCACCCCCCGCTCTGGAACTAATCGCTCGTCCCCCAGGTGCCACTGCTGCAGGTGTCCGGGCCACTCCTTCTGGTACAGCTGCTGGAGACTCCCCTGCTGTGTCTGGTCAGTTACGCTAGGTGAGCGGAGTTCCTGAGAGATGCAGGCAGTCGGCAGTCGGAAGGTTTGGGGGGGGGTAAGTCGGTACACTGGGGTGACTCTGCAACTCTCACCTGGGCTCTCCTGGCCTGTCACTCTCCACAGCCTCGTAGCCACCAATGCTGCTCGACTTCGCCTAATTGCAGGGCCTGATAAGAGACTGCTAGAGATGGGCTTGCGGCGAGCTCAGGGTCCAGATGGGGGTTTCACGGCTTCCATTTACAGCTACCTGGGCGGTGAGGCCGGGAAAAGGCGTAGGTTGGGGAAGGGAAGGTACCAGCATTCCTGGAGTCCCCTAAGCCTGCCTGCCTTTTTACCCAGGATTCAACAGCAGCAGCAACACACTTGCTGGACAGCTGAGAGGTGTGCCCGTGGCAGGGACCCTGGCCCACTCCTTTGTCACTTCATTTTCGGGTAGTGAGGTGCCCCCTGACCCGGTTAGTACTGTTTTATGTTGTGTCAGGGTTCCGTGCAGCCCAGATTGGTCTTGAAATCTTGATCCTCCTGCCTCTGTCTCAATGTGTACTTCCATGCTGGGCCCAATCAGTCAGTACCTTTCTCAAGCCAGCTCTACTCTAGAGGACAAGATCTCAAAACCAATTCTTACCCCGGCTAGGATGGGCTGGCCCCTGCTGTATACGCTGGTGGATTGGTGTAAGGCTGTACTAGAAAGCTGGCATTACATGGCATCACCTTTGTCCTCTGGCCACGGTATACTAGCCACTCCCAGGTTTTACACTGTACTCTAGAACCATCTTTTATCTAATCTCTTTCTGCAGATGTTGGCTCCAGCTTCTAGTGAGGGCCCCACTGTGGACCTGGCCGCCAGTGTAAATTTGTGGCTGAAGCGTGTGTGCGACTACCTGGGACTAGAGGTGCAGGAGCCGCATCCAGGGGAACGGGCAGCATTTGTGGCCTATGCCCTGACTTTTCCCCGGGCTTTCCAGGGTCTGCTAGACTCCTACAGTGTACGCAGGTGAGGTATGAGCAGTCTCTCAGGGTGGCCTCGGTAGAGCGACTGAGCTCCTGATCCTGTCTTTTACATGCAGAAGTGGTCTTCCCAACTTCCTGGCAGTAGCCCTGGCGCTGGGGGAGCTGGGTTACAGGGCAGTGGGCGTGAGGCTGGACAGCGGTGATCTGCTTCAGCAGGCTCAGGAGATCCGTGGGATCTTTCGAACTGTTGGTGCCGAGTGAGTTCCCCATGAGGGGTGTCGTGTGCCTCCTAGAAACTCCTTGTGGGAGTCCCAAGGATTTGGACAAGAGGGATTGTCTCTCCTATAGTGAGACCATGATCCTATTTCGAAACAACTGGAAAAGCCCTGGGAGGGAGGAGTAGGGTAGGACCACCAGGAGTTCCTAAGAAAAGGGTGGGTATAGGCATGGCTGATGGGGAGGGAAGAATCAAGGAAAGAGGCCAGGGTGAATCAAGAGCATCTAAGGGGGTGCTGCCTATGAACCCATTACCTACAGGTTCCAGGTGCCCTGGCTAGAATCCGTTTCCATTGCAGTCAGCAACAACATTGATGAGAAGGAGCTAGCACGGCTGGCCCAGAAGGTAGAGTGGAAGAGGGACAGGTGGAGGGTAGTCTAGGGGGCTCTGGCACTCTGCAGGTGGCAGCTGGGCCCATTGCCACCTCCTCTCCCCACAGGGCAGTGAGGTGAACATCATTGGCATTGGTACCAGTGTGGTCACCTGTCCCAAACAGCCTTCTATGGGCTGTGTCTACAAGGTAAAGAGAGTGTTTGGCCCCGGGTAGGGCAAGTCTGGAAGAACATGGATGGCAGGGGACAGGAGTCCAGCCATCTGAACACCCTGTCATTGCAGCTGGTGTCTGTGGGAGGCCAACCTCGAATGAAGCTGACAGAGGACCGTGAGAAGCAAACACTGCCAGGGAGCAAGGCTGCCTTCCGGCTCCTAGGCCCCGATGGTGACTTCCCTCTGCTTCCCTTTTGCCCCCTTTCGAGTCTCCAGCCCCTATTTGACATTATTCTTGCTTTTGCTCAGGGTTTTTCCTAATGGACCTACTGCAGTTGGCAGAAGAGCCCCCACCCAAGGCTGGGCAGGAACTCAAGGTTTGGCCCCGAGGGGCTCAGGGGCCCTGCACTGTGAAGCCAGCCCAGGTGGAGCCATTGCTGCAACTCTGCCTGCAACAGGGACAGGTGACTGCCCCTCATCTGCGCCTTCACTTCAGCTGAGCTCTGATTCCGAACCAGCATCTCTAACCTTCCCTTTCCCCTCCCCTGCAGCTGTGTGAGACGCTTCCATCTCTGGATGAGTCCAGAACCTTCGCCCAGCAGTCCCTGAGCCGCCTCAACCCTGCTCATAAGCAGCTGCAGAGCCCTCCAGTGTATCCGGTAGGCCTATAGGTGGCCTGCCCTGTGTCCTGTGTGCTCCCTGTCCCACTCCCAGCCCCAGCTGCTCAGATCCCTCTTATTTTTCTCTGCAGGTGGCACTGTCAGAGAAGCTTCGGGCTCTAGTGGACAGTCTGGGTGCTGGAGGTCCCTTGTAAAAACCACAGGGATGGCGAACAACCAGAAACAACATGACTCACTGTCCCCACAACTTGTCGTGTGTCATTAGTTCACGAATGTCTGCTACTCTCTTGACTTCTAGAGACTTCCAGAGCTAGGCTGGAATTGTGTGAAGGTGGCTCAGGAACGGCTGGGCAAAGGTTCTAGACTCATTCGGAGATGGAAATGGCTCACACAGCTGCAGGGGAGGGGAAAGAGAAGGGAGAGATGCTGGCTCGGGATCAGAGCTCAGCTGGGCTGGGAGTCAGGCATATGAGGAGGCACAGATCTACCCAGCATGTGGGAAGGCAGCCATGGGGCTGGACTGTGGAGACCAGGTCTGAGTGGAACTGCAGGACTCTATGACGCAGAAGGTTTGTGTTTACCTGTTTTGAGGATGTTACTGTGAAGGCCCTCACCTACTAGAAGGTTGAGATGAAGTGTCAGAGTCTCATAGCCTCAGGCTCCCACATCTACTAAGGGCAATGTCCCCCATCAGTATATCCCCCCATCTTCCCACACCAGCCCTGCATGATCTATCACCTATGATAAGCCAATCAGGCTTTGGGGTTGTCAGCTTCTGACCCAATAACCAAGGAAGGAGGAGAAGATGGAAAAAGCTGAGGTGCCGAGGAGCTGACTCTCTGAGAGCTGGCATACTCGGGCACAGCAAGCGAGGCAAGGCCGGAAGAACTGCCTGGGAGGAGTGTATTAGTCACCATCCTATTGCCGTGAAGAGACACCATGAACCCTGGCAACTCCTATAAAAGAAAGCACTTCACTGGGGGCTTGCTTACAGTTTTAGAGGTCAATCCATTGTCATCACGCTGAGGAGCGTGGTGACACACAGGCAAACATAGTGCTGGAGAAGTTGCTGAGAGTTGTATATAGAAAGAGACACTGGACTTGGCATGGGCTTTTGAAACGTCAAAGGCCACCCCCAAGGATGCACTTCCTCTAACAAGGTCACACCCACTAATTCTAATTCTTTCAAATAGTGCCACTCCCTGGTCACTAAGCATTCAAATGTGTAAGCCTATGGGGGCCGGCCTTTCCTACACCTACCACCACGGGAGGTTCATGGCTTGGCAGGAGGCAGAGTTGGGCTTGGGTAGCCTGAGGTACACGGTTCTGAAGAGGGTGAATGCCCGGGTGAATGCCCATTACATGGAATACTTCCACACGCGTTTCCACCTCTCCAAGCAGATTGCCAGACCAGTTCATCCAGCTCCCCTGGCTTAGTTCTGGGCAGTGCCTGCAGTGTGCTTGGGTGGAGAGTGGGGATTTAGGACAGAGGTTGGGTCAGCTCCGGGAGCATGAACTTGGAAAGGGATACACCTGGGCACATAGTATACATACACACTGCCTTAGCAGCCATGGGGAAACAGTCTCGGCCGAGGAGTGGAGGACATATAGGGCGTAAGATGTACCACCTCAGAACTGGCAAGGATACAGAGTGGCCCACACCAGCAACAGTGGGCACTTGCAAACGTCCTTAGGAGGCTTTGCCTGCCTTCACCCCATTTGCTCCACACCCCAAGTACCTTAAGTTCAGAGATGATGACAGTATCCGACCACACCCACTCCCAGGATGTCTGGCTGTATGACAATACAGGGGCCTAGACCAGTCCCTGACCCTGCTAGAACCTCCTCAGAATAATCTCAAACTGCTCTGGAGCCCTCCCCCAGATAAGAGGGGCAGGTAGTTGGCTAAAGACCTCCCTCCTCTCTGGAGTCCACATCTACACGGGCATTAGTGGGCAGAGCCAGTCTTCTTGCCATTCCATGTAACTCCAGCAGCCTGGGCAGAAACCCTTCACAAGCCCATGCTAGGATACCTCTGTGATTTCCCCAGCCAGCCACTGGCACATGCTCAGGCACGCATGCACGTCTATGCCCACGCCACCACGCCTGTCTGTAGGCCCGCCTGTGGGCCCGCCCGGGGCCTGATTCTAGGTCAGATCTGGGCACAACTTCACTGGAAGAGTGGTAGCAGGTGCCACTGGTAGGAACACCATGGCTGGGGGTGTGTGGGGCCGGGGCCGAGATGGCCCTGTGGGGTCCCTAACTCTGACAGCTCTAGCTGAAGGAATCCGGGCTAACCAGGGGCAGCCTGTGGGATCCTCTTCTACAGGCCCTCAGGCTGAGCCCCTGGAGCTTGAACCTGAGGCTGAGACCTACATTCAAACACTCACCCCTGCCTCTGAGGGCCAGCCTGAGAATGAAGTGCAACCCCCCACAGCGGGCAGTGAGAACTGTTCCCCACAGGATGCCCAGGAGCCAGGCCCTGAGAGACCCTACCAGGTGAGTGTTGAGGAATGATCATCGGTGGTGCATGGTTTGGCTGTCGTTCGCTTAGGCACTGGAAAGACAAGCGGTACTGGAGCTGGGGAAACTTCTGAGGGTAAAAGCAGGAAAAGACCATAGAGGAAGAGGGTGTGTAGCCATCTGAAGGATGAGGAGACTGGAGGGCTAAGGAAGAAAGCTGAGCTAGGCTTGGGGACTTCATAAACTCCATGTTCCATTCTCCCTTCCCTAGGCCTCCCAGTATTCCTGGGAGGAAGGAGCCTTGGCAGACCTTGCCTTGTATACAGCTGCCTGTTTGGAGGAGGCTGGTTATGCCGGGACCCAGGCAACTGCGCTCACTCTGTCCTCAGCCCTGGAAGCCCAGGGACAACGACTGGAGGACCAGGTTAGCATTCCCACTCCAACCTAGAGAATCCTACAAGCCTCCCTTCTGGGTGGGAGGAGAATGCAATCTCAACCACACGCCCCCTAAAGGCTGCTCTGACTAAGTGGTGCGGTGCAGGCAAGAGTTTCCTTTTGGGTTAAAGGGACCCTGACCACTGACATTTGGTCCCTTTTACCCAGGTCCACAGTCTGGTGCGTGGGCTCCTGGTACAGGTACCTAGCCTGGCAGAGGGAAGACCGCGGCGGGCAGCCCTCCGGGTGCTGAGCGCACTGGCTCTGGAGCATGCGCAGGATGTGGTGTGTGCTCTGCTACCCAGTTCACTACCCCCAGACCGGTAACCTGCCCCGCCCTCCCAGCTGTGCGGCCCCACGCGGCTTCCTTCCCCCTTCCCGCTTGATTGCTTGATCGTAGAATTTGGCCCCATCCATACCCAGGTTTAGTTTAGCGCGCGTGCGCACCCCCCCTCCCTGCTTTTTCCTGCAGATGTGGGTGGGATAAGAAATCAGGGTAGCTTGGGCTCCTGGAAGCCTCTGATTCTTTGGGTCATTTACCCCAGACGTTATCCCAGATTTATGCTCTACAATAATTAAAATAGTAGAAGTAGTGGACAGGTCTGTTTCCCTGTCTCCGACCTAACAGGGCTCAGTGTGGTCCAGGTGGCTCCTGGCCTCTGGGACTGGTTCCGTTGTTTTTTTTCTGGGATGTGGGCCAGTTGGAAGATGGTTTATTTCTGGAGGTTTTTCCTAGAGCCCGAGTGGTAGGCTTCCCTGAGAATTCCTCACAGCTCCTCCTCACTCCGAGGCCCTTCACCCCCAGGGCAGCCGCTGAGCTGTGGCGAAGCCTGAGCCGGAACCAGCGCGTAAATGGGCAGGTGCTGGTGCAACTGCTGTGGGCACTGAAGGGCACGGCGGGTCCTGAGCCTGGGGCACTGGCAGTAAGTGGCTCCAGGAGGTGCCATGGGGGGCGTGGCCCAACCGCAAGCAATCCAAGAGTAGTTTTGTGATGGTGGGACTAAAGATTAGCGCCCAAGTCACACTTGTGGGGGATGTCCTGCACGCATTCACGTTTGGCAGAGTTCCAAGGGTGGGTTCACTCGATCTGCAGGCCACACGCGCTCTTGGGGAGATGTTGTCAGTCTCTGGCTGCGTGGGAGCCACTCGAGGCTTCTACCCCCACCTGCTGTTAGCACTGGTCACACAGCTGCATGAGCTGGCTCAAGGTGTTCATTCCCCTGAGAGCCCTAAAGTTTGGGAGCCTTCTCACCGAGGGCCACCTCACAGTCATGCCAGGTGAGAAGGTACACTTGGGTGAGTGGGGGATGGGACAGGCCCTTCTTGCCCTCACTGCCCACCACTCTACTGTTCCCTCCTCCAGCTGCACAGTGGAGGCCTTGAAGGCCCTGCTCACAGGGGATGGTGGCCGAATGGTGGTCACGTGTATGGAGCAAGCAGGAGGCTGGAGGAGACTGGTAGGAGCCCACACGCACCTGGAGGGTGTCCTGCTGCTGGCCAGGTGAGGAGACACCCCAGGACAACACAACAGGAGGAGGCTCCCTGCTGGCAAGGTGCGGTGGTGGCATAGATGAGGTGGTGGGATGAGCCCTTCCAAGCGAAGGAAGAGCTCCCTTTTACCCTCCTCCAGTGCCATGGTGGCGCATGCCGATCACCATCTCCGAGGCCTTTTTGCAGACTTGCTTCCTCGGCTACGAAGCACCAACGAACCGCATCGCCTCACAGCTATGGCCTTCTTTACTGGGGTGAGCCTGCTTCCCAGGAGTGTAGTGAGGGGTGACTGCCTGCCCAGACGCAGAGATGCACTGACTCTATGCCTCTTGCCTAGCTGTTGCAGAGCCGGCCCACTGCACGACTCTTACGGGAGGATGTCATCCTGGAGAGGCTTCGAACTTGGCAGGGCGACCCAGAGCCCACCGTGCGCTGGCTAGGCCTACTTGGTCTTGGCCACCTTGCAATGAATCGTGGGAAGGTGCCATTCTGGTAGTGCCGGGCCAGGCGGGACTTAGGCTGTGTCTGGAAGGGTCCGGCCACAAGTCCTGTCTTTACAGATAAGGCACGTGAACACGCTGCTGCCGGTACTCCTTAGAGCGCTGGGCGAAGGCGACACGCGGCTCGTGGGTGCTGCACTGGGCGCGCTGCGGAGACTGCTGCTGCAGCCGGGAGCACCGGTGAGGCTCCTCAGCTCTGAGCTGCGACCACGCCTCCCGCCGCTACTGGACGATGTGAGCAAAATCCTGCTCTGTGGTCCCACCGTGTCCCGCTTGGAACTGTCTATAGTTACGCAGTCCCAACTGCAGGCTCTCCCTAGGGTGCCCACCCAGTTGCCTGTGGTCCTGCCCATCAGATCGAGGTTTAATCTGAAGCCCCCTGATTCGCCCCCCCCTCCCCCGTCCCTCCTTACTCTGCACTGACCTTCTCTCTCACACTTTCTGCCTTGAATTCTGACTATATTTCCTCATGAAGGCTCGGGACTCTGTCCGTGCTTCGGCAGTGGGACTCCTTGGAACGCTGGTGCGGCGGGGTCAGAGAGGGCTCCGGTTGGGGCTTCGGGGACCCCTGAGGAAATTGGTGCTGCAGAGTCTGGTGCCGCTGTTGCTGCGCCTACATGACTCCAGCCAGGATGCTGCTGAGGTCAGTGTTCTGTCTCATCCAGAACTTCCGCTCCAACCTTGTGGCCTCTTTGAAGGTTTCAAGGGAAAAAGACCTGCACCTAAAAGTCCTTGAGGTCCTTGTCTTTTTCCCTTGGGCTGCTATACTAAGCGCCTCACCCTGGACATTGACACCCTTTTCTGGCCACAGTTCCTTTTCTTCCGCCACTTTTCATCTTCTGGACCCCTAACCCTGCTTGTTTCCTCCATTCCAGAGCTCAGAGTGGACATTAGCTCGCTGTGACCAGGCCCTTCGATGGGGCCTGCTGGAGGAGATGGTCACTGTGGCTCACTATGACAGCCCTGAGGCTCTAAGCCGTGTCTGCCACCGCCTGGTTAGTAGAGGAAGCACCGTGATGGGGAGAGGGGTACCGTCTGCTTCTGCTCTCTTAGGATTCTATAGGCCACTCCCCCTCAAAGCAGTCTCCACCCGAGCTGAACATGACCCCCGGGCTCCTGAGGCCTGTCAGTCCGGAGCCTTTGTTCATGTTGCCTGCCCAGCCTCTTTTCCAGGAAGGACTGATCCTTCCGTGCTGTCATGAGCATTTGTGTTCCTAGGTTCAGCGATATCCAAGCCATGTTAAGCATTTCCTGAGTCAGACCCAGGGCTACCTGCGGAGCCCACAGGACCCCTTGCGCCGGGCCGCCACTGTGCTCATAGGTGAGGCGGTCTTACCCACGTGGCTAGGGATCCCAGAGCTGAGCCAGCCTCTTCTAGGGTTGGGCCAGACCTCACTGGTTTGCTTTGGTACAGGCTTCCTCGTCTATCACGCTAGTCCCAGCGGAGTCAGTCAGGACCTGTTGGACTCTCTGTTCCAGGGTGAGGACCGGATGTGCCATGGGGGAGAGTGCTGGAGAGGAGTGGACAAGATAGAATGGGTGCGGGCCGGCCCCAGGCTCCTCTCGCAGGCATCCTAACCGCCCCTTTATACAGACCTAGGACAGCTGCAGGGTGACCCGGAGTCTGCGGTTTCTGCGGCAGCGCACGTGTCTGCCCAGCAGGTGGCGTTGCTTGCTCGGGCGCAGGTCCGACCACATCGCCCCAGCCTCTTACGCTTCATCCGCCATCACTCATATCCTGCAAGGCCCCATCCACTCTATGACGATAGTCCATTCCTACGCCGGAGCCGTGCAAGCCGATGGAACTGCCCTGAACCTCGGTGAACCAGGCCTGGTATCCAGATGCACGTGCACACATTATCCATGTCGTCACCAATCCCTGCTCCAGCAGATCCGCAGAAGTCTATTCAAACGTCACCCTGGGCCTAGTGCTGGACACTGGTGCTCACTGCCCTGTAACTACTTTCTATGGGCCCACCGTGTGACAACTGTGTCGCCGATGGCACGTTCCATCTAAAGTCCCTTCTGTAGTCTTGGTCCATCTATTTATTCTCTGCCAGGCGAGTTCTGTCAGCTCTCTGGAGTGTGCCCTCTGCTCTAGCTTGGACTTGGCACCTGTCCTGGATAGCATCTGCTTCCCAAGCAAGGGTCTGATGGAGGTACTGAAGGTGATGCCACCGTAGGCTATCCTGCCCCCTTCCTAGGGTTCAGTATGCCTAGTTGTACCTCTCATGGCTCTCATAGTCATGTCAGTAGCCTGTCATCTCTGTTTCTTCTTCCATTCTCTATTCCTTACAGTTGTCCCGGCTTATGTCCCCTATGTTCTTGAGGTTATGTTGTCCAGAGGCATTGACCTGCTCTCCTGTCCATACCTGCTGTCCCTACTCCTTTGGATAACCAATCCATTTCCTACCCACCTGAACAATGGTGTTCTCTAGAAGGTATTTCTAACATCCCTTTATGCTGGAGAGCCCAAGCAGGGATTGCACCCGTGGGTTGAAATGTGGGAAGCAGGCACTCCGCACCCACCAGACTGTGAATGGGTATGTCATTACCCAATGTCCTCCTGTACAGGACTCAAATGGGAAGGCATAGCTGGATAGACAGGAAGAGCCAGCCATAGTTGTGACCTCACCCCTCCAGGCGCTTGGCATAGGCAGCTTCCTCCACTTAGAATGCCTACCCTGGAATGTCCTCAGGCTGCAGGAAGGGCCTCCTCACAAACACAGGATATGCACAGGGTGATAATGAGCAGGAAGCTGTTTCCCCACCTTGGAGTCCTTTTGGGACAAGCATGGGATCCTACTTACTTAGCATCTACATGGAATGTGTTCAAAATAAATATGAATGGCTGGCAGTGGTTGGCCAACCGTCTTAGAAAGTGTGGCTGGCAGGGGTTGGCCAACCGTCTTAGAAAGTGGTGGGATGAACTGCTGCTCAGGATTCAGCTTGGCTCAAGGTGAGCAAGGCAGTATGCAGCAAGACTAATGGCAGGGGCCGGGGAGCTGACTCAGTGGTAAAGGGTACTTTGGATGCTATAGTTCCAGCCCCAGGACTACCAACTTCTGCAGAAAACCCTCCCACTGAAAGTCCGGCAGCTAGGGGCTAGAGTCTGACTTACGCTCTCCCTCCATTTCTTTTCTTGTTTTTGCTTTGTTTTGTTTTTTGTTTGTTTGTTTTTTGAGATAAGGTTTCTCTGTGTTGCCCTGGTTGTCCTGGAACTAGCTCTGTAGACCAGGCTGGCCTCGAACGTACAGATATTTGCCTGCCTCTGCCTTTCCAGTGCTGGGGTTAAAGGTATACAACACTATTCTTTGTTTTGGTGCCCCCCCCCCCACAGAGGCCTCATTGCAGGCCCAGTCAGTCTCCTGTTTCAGATGTTCTCCTGTGGGCCCTTCCACTGGTGAGCTCACTGGATCTCCCACCTGGGCTTTGGGTGTGGTTGGCAACATCTACCTATGCTCTGCCCTTCAGGACCTAAGGGTCCGGGAAGCATTGCTGTGGTGCAGGGCTTTCTAGGGTCTGGGTTGCTTCCATTCTACTCACCCGGGCTTGCCTTCCAGGAGTGTTTCAAGGACTTCTGGTTAAGATGGCTGTCCTGGCTAGTTTTATATCAACTTGACATAATCTAGAGTCATTTGAAAGGAGAGAACTCCAATTGAGAAAATGACTCTGTAAGATCCAGCTGAAGGGCATTTTCTTAATTAGCCATTGATGGGGAAGGGCCTAGCCCATTGTGAGTGAGTGGTGCCATCCCTGGGCATGTGGTCCTGGGTTCTCTAAGAAAGCCGACTAGGCAAATTGTGATGAGCGAGTCAGCAAACAGCACCCCTCCATGGTCTCTGCACCAGCTCCTGCCTCCAACTTCCTGCCCTGTTTGAGTTGCTGCCAGCCCTGACTAAAGACTGTCACCTGGAAGTGTAATCTGAAATAAACCCTGTCCTCCCCAGGTTGCTTTGGTCATGGTGTTTTATCAATAGAGACCCTAATTAAGACAATGGCAGAATGGGGACGGCCTCTGAGAGCTGATGAAAAAGAGTCAGAATAAGGAGAGAGAGAGAGAGAGAGAGAGAGAGAGAGAGAGAGAGAGAGAGAGA